ACTAGACAAGGACATAAGAGGCTAAGCAGGGAAGCTAAGGGAGAGGAGGAGGAGGAGAGGAGAAAAGTGCGACCGCCTTCGTCAAGAGCAAGAGTAAGTATTGATCTAAGGTGCAGACATTCATGACTCAGTAGCAGCTTTTCCTTCTTTTTTCTTCTTTTTAAAAAAATTTAATAACACTGCACATTCATGGATAGATCCTTGTCAGGACTCTGTCCTTGGCTTATTTAACCAGTCACAAATACATAACAGTGGTTTTATAGATTAGCAAAACTGTAAAACCTGTACTGTTTACATGCGCTGCTGCAAAATCTGTGTTGGAACTCAGACTGTTCGGGCACTCGAATTGAAATTTCTAGCTGGGAACTCAGAAATTCTGACTTGCATCTTCAAATTAAATGCACCAAGACCAAGTCAGGTTAGGCTGACACTATACATACCATTAGGTTGCGAGTTGGGAGCAACAGCATTGTCAAATATAACAGAGTGGTTTTTATATAGCACCTTTCTACTGAGCACTGAAAATGCTTTCTTATTCAGTCTTTTACACACAAATTTAGACAAGTGCTTTTTTTCTATGCCTAAGCACTTGCAACCTAACATTCACACATTTGCACAAATTCATGGATGCCTCGAGGGCAACTCAGGGTTCAATATCTTGGCCAAGGATAGTTGAACAATTAGTAAAATGATCCCTCCCACCTCCTGAGCCACAGATGCATTTAAACACCCCACCCCATGATAGTCCAAGGCTCTAAAGTGTGGCTAAAGCCTTAGCTCTGGGACCAAGAGCTTCTCAGGCCTGCTAATGCATTGCAATTTTCAGTCTCTGGCTTCCCAAATTACAACACATAACATTAAGCATCCTATTCACACCAAGACAAACAGTGAAACAGGAGAAACTCAGTTTGTGTGTTGTCTTCCTGTTTGAGTGACAGCTGCCTTCACCCTGTGCAACTATGGCAGCTCGAATGTGTCAAAAAGTGTGGGATGCAACATCTCTATGCCTCTGAAAGATGATGAAAAGCAGGTGGTCACCAAAGGCAGGTCCTTGGGCTCTTTCTGGGTAGTGCAGTGCCATCTTTGGTTATCTCAGTCCCAGCTGGTGAGGCTGATAAGGCTGCCTGTCGACCCACAGTCATGTTCGGCTCAGGGGCACCCCAATTTTTGCAGCATGCTCGAAACAGCTGCTGTGTTCCTCAGGAGATGTCAAGGGGCATGTTCAGAGGTTGTGAACCCTGAGATCCAAGATGCAAAATTCTTACGGTCCCTGGGGTGAGGCAGGCCATCAGTGCCAGCGGTTGGTTTGCCACCACTGACCTGAAGAATGCCTACTTCCAGATTGCTATCTGCCAGGGCCACTGGCAGTTCCTGGGGTTTGGGTGGGTGGGTGATCAGAGCAGGTGGGTGATCAGAGCAGGTGTGTTCATTCAAAAGCGGGGACCTTTGTGGAGTCCTGCCCCACAGACACAAAAAAATTGACACAGAGAGATAAGAGTGATGGGAGAGATTCTCAATCACCCTAGGGTCCTATGCCATTTTGACCTTGGGACTTCCGGGCCATACTCAGCACAGATGTTTCCGTATACTATCCCAGACGTTTGATTATTGTATTCCATGTATGCCTTGCCTGCCTTGCACCCTGCTGTTATGTGCTGGATTGTCTCAGCGGCATCTATGCTCCTGGGGTCTTGCCTGGTGTGGTAGACCCCAGCCTCTATTGTATTGTATTGAATTGAATCTTTATTTTGACAATGTTAAAACAGTTCAACAACAGAGAAAAAATAGACAAACAAAGCAAAACAAAAGGAAAGGAAAACAAAACAATACTAATTATTAATAACTTACATGTTCAAAAAGGAGTTGGAAGAAGCATAAGCTTATTTATCCCCCACTTACCCCCTTTCCACTATTTAGTAATTATTACTCTGCACTTTTTCTTCCTGTTTATGCCCTGTCCATCAGAAATTCTTTATTACCATTAAATTACATGTTACATGTATTATTTATTTATTTATTTAAAATATATATACATATATAACCCCAGTAACCTGTCAAAAGAGATACAATTTGCAGACATATATACTTATATAAACATACTTGTGCACCCACACACACGTATACACATCACTCTTGTGAAAATAGTGGGTGAGAACCCCCCCTTTAGACCCCCACCTCCTCCCTGTACTTTGCAAAAACCATATTTTTGAACCGCTTTTAAACTGAGTCATGCTGGGATGTTGATTCCTTTCTTCACTTAGTCTGTTCCACAGCTTCACTCCACACACAGAGATGCAAAGATTTTAGTGTTGTATGGATACAGGGATGTTTTTTAAATTTAATTCCCCCCTCTAATTGTATTTCCGTTCCTGTTTAAAAAAACTATTTTAGAATATTGTCAGGAAGTAAGTTGTTTTATTGCTTTATATGTAATTTGCGCATTGAGGAAACAAACCAGATCTGGGAATTTTAGTATTTTTGATTTAAAGAATAGTGGATTTGTTTGATCTCTGTAGCCAGTTTTATGGATTATCCTCATGGCCCTTTTTTCCAATATGAAGATTGATGATAGGGAACA